TGTTGCTCATTAAACCCCTGGGGCCAGATATCGGTGGCTGATAGCACATGGCATGCTGTGCACACGCTTGGGCCTGGCCAAGAGGAGTCCTGGCCCATCTGAATGACAGAGTGGTCCCATGCAATGGGGACACGTAGCTGCTAAGTGGCACTTGCTCTATTTAGGTCTAAAGATACTTGGCAGGAGACAGGTAGGTGCACTGCTCTGGAGAGGAACAGAGGCAGTGTGCAGTGCCGCAAGTCCCTGTTCCTTGGAAGCAGTAGAAGAAAACGCCAGCTTGGTACCATCTCTGCCCAACCAAGAAGGCTTGGCACAAGTCATCTGCCTTGACTCATGAATCAAGACCAAATGCTGAAGGATAGAAGTAGGACAGGTCACAGCCCATGTCCCGCAAGCTGAGTCCTCGTGGGTTTAGCTCAACAAGGAGGAAAAGCAGATGCTCTCTGAGCACAAAGCTGGGACCCCTGACTACGTGGTGGTGTTCCAGCAATGCAGCTGGAGGAGGGATGGAGCTCTTCGGGCTCTCATAGATTTTGGAACTTTCTCCATCCTGAAAGTCAGAATGTGACATGCAGATTTAGAAGGAAATACAAAAACAATAAAAATTGAAGACCAATTAAAGCTTTTTTCCCTCAACATTTGAGGTGTTCTGAGAAGGCTGCAGCTGTGCCCCAGCTTACATCTCAAAGAACAGCAAAAAAGAACCTTTGTCTCTCTTGAAAGGAAGAAGGAAAAGGTCAACCTGAAGCATTTTCAGCTTTTTTCTTTTTAAGTGCAAAGGTCATCAAAACTGGGCTGTTCCCCAGAAGGTTCTGCCTAAGGAGGTTTCTGTTTCAATGGAAAGTGTTTCGCAAAAAATTTCCCAGAAGGGGCTGGGAGGAGCCAAGAGGAGAGGGAAGGAATAGGGATGGGAGAGGCCCCAGGAGATGCTCGGAGTCCTTGGGAGCTCAGAGAAGTCCAAAGCAGCCATGCAGCCCCCTGGTAACAGGGTAACCCCCCCGTAAGACTGCTGCCCACATGCTGGGTGTTTGCTCACTCCATCCTGCACGTGTTGGTCACCCTGTTCAGGCAGGACAGCCTGGGGGGTCAGCTCTGAGCAGGAGGATCCGCACACATCCTGGTAATGACAGGTTTGGAGAACAGGAGCCACAAGCCACATTTGCCATCTCCAAGGGGTGCACGGCGTATCTCCCATGGAAGCACCCTCCCCTAAGGGCTTTGCCCCTTCATGTCTCTTTAACTGTATTGTTCTCCATGTTC